AAACAAGTGCCAAATCAACACATGAAAGACCCTCAGGGTCATTAGCCATTAGAAATGACTGACACAAATTAAAACTCAGTAACGACCACTCATTTACTATAACAGCTAAAATTTTAAAAACTAATGAAACCAACTGGTGGCAACATGCGGAGCAACTGGAATTATCGCACGTTGCTTGTGGGAAGGTGGAATGGTATGATCACTCTGAAAAACAGTTTGGCAGCTTCTTTTCAAGTTAAATGTACACTTCCAAATGACCCAGAAATACCACCCCTGGTTCTTAACCCAGAAGTTAAGGTTTAAAAACATATGAAGGGGGACTCAAAGAAACCAGAATTTATTTATTAAAAATTGTATATTTATTCTTACACATTTAAGCTTCAGTTACCTTCAAAGTACTCTCCATTTGATGCAATACACCTGTGGATCCATTTTTCCCACTGCTCAGAACAGTTTTTGAACTCATCAGTATTGATGCTTTTCTTTTACTGCTCCTCCTATTTTTTTGTTTCACTTCTTCCACATCAGCAAAACGTTTCCCTTTGAGAACTTTTTCATCCAGGGAAACAAAAAAAAGGTGCGTGGGGTAAGATTGGATGAACAGGGAGGGTGGTGGATGGGGGTCCTGCCATTTTTTCGTCAAGAACTGCTGAACACTCAGTGTGGTGTGGGCAGGTGTGCCTGTAAATCACCCATCATGAAATGGGCAAACACACTGAAAGAGTCTTAAAAAATTCACTGAGAACAATAAAATAAAATAATAAAAAATAACAATTAAAAAATTAATAAAAATATATTAAGAACTTTTAATAAAAAGAAAAGATTCACTGAGGCCGAATGCAGCCTCTCACAACCATCTCAGCTGGCACACCAGTACAGATGGGAAGCCTGCACTACACGGGACCTGCCCTCCAGAAGATAATTCTGGTTTTTTCAGGGTTTCCCCTTGTATACTTATACCAAAACCTGTATGTAAATGCTAATGGCAAGTTGATTCATAACTGTCAGAAACTGGAAACAACAAAAATATCCATCAACAGGGAAACAGATGAAGCAAGCCCAGTGATTTCCAATAGGATGCTACACATCGTTAGTGGAATGAAGTACTAATGAACAAAGCATGCACAAATCTCAAAAACCATTATGCTAAGTAAAGGAAGCCAGACCCAAAGGGTTCATCTCCTATAATTCAATGTATATGGCATCCCTAAAACTGTAAAAAACACAGGGGTACAAATCACCATCAGGGGCTGTGAGAAAAGGGGACAGACTGCACAGGGAAATAAGAGAACTCGTGAGGATGACAGAAATGCTCTGTGTCTTGATTACAATGGTGATTATATGATATACATTTGTCAAAACACATCAAACTATGTATCTGAGAAGGTGAATTTTACTGTTAGTCAGTTAAAATTAATAAACCTATCCTTAAAAAAGTATAAAAACTTATAAAGGCTTTAATATATGTTGCTAAATTGCCCTTCCTTTAACTTAATTTCTTCTACTCCCACTGAATTTACATCCCACTGGTATTCTACATCTGTCTACCAGGCTCAAAATAATCACATTATTATTTTAGACTTTTTCCAATTGGTAAGTTATTTAAAAATGTTGCCTCACTGTTTTGATTTGTATATCTCTTAGTTTTTAGTGGTAGTGAACTTTTTCTCATTTATTGCCTTGGACAGTGGTATTTCTTCTCTGTTCTGTTACTCATTCCTTTTCATATTGTTTTAAGAAAGTATTTGGTGTTTTTATTAATTTTTTGAGATATTGCTATCTATCTTCAATATTTCAGTTTCTCATTTGCCTTTCATTATCTTAATTTTTTAAACATACCGACAGCTTAAAACTTGAAGTTTTTCAGTATTTTCTAAGATTTTTTTTCACACATTTTAGAAATTTCTTTCCTCATTTAAAGTTCAGTTAAATATTCAACTATATTTTTTGTAATTTTTTATACTCAATATTTTTAACTTTTAAAATCTTTCCTATCTAATATAGTGGCTACTAGCCACAAGTGATTATTAAACTTCTATAAATTAATTAAAATTAAACTTCTCCCCTATGTTTCCTGCTAGTTTTATTATTTCATGTCTTACATTTAAACCTTGAATCCATTTCGGGTTAATTTCTGTGTAGGATAAGTGAAGGATAAAAGTCCAATTTCATTCTTTTGCATGTGGCTATCCAGCTTTCTCATCATTATTTATTGAAGAGACTTTTGGCATCCTGGTCAATGACTACTTGATCATATACACCTGGCTTTATTTCTGAGCTCTCTGTTCCATTCCATGGGTCTGTATCATTTTTTATGGCAATAGCAAACTGTTTTAATTACTCTCACACTGTAATCTACTTTGAGATTAGAAACTATGATGTCCCCAGCTTTGTTCTTTCTCAAGACTGCCTTAACAATCCAGGGTATTTTGTGGTTCACACCAATTGTAGGATTGTTTATTTCTCTGAAAAATGGCATCGAAATTGTGATAGGGATTGCATTAAATCTGTACATTGCTTTGGGCAGTATGGGTATATTAACAGTATTAATTCTTCCTATCCATAAACACAGATCTTAGCAATGATTTTTTGCAATTTATACCAAAAGTACAAACGACAAAACCAAAACAAACAAGCCTTTATCAAACTAAAAAGATTCTACTCTACACAGCAAAGAAAACCATCAAAAAAATGAAAAGGCAACCTATGAAATGGGAGAAAATATGTGCAAACCATACATCTGCTAAAGGGTTAACATCCAAAATATATAAGAATGCATACAACTAATAGTAACAATAACAAAAACCCAAATAACCCAATTAAAAACGGGGCGAAAGACCTGAATGGCATTTCCCTAAAGACATGCAAATGGCCAACAGGAATGTGAAAACGTGCTCAGCATTATCAGTCATCTAGTAAGTAAGAATCAAAACCACAATGAGACATCACCTCACACCTGTTAGGGTGGCTATTATCAAAAGGACAACAGAGAGGTAAGTGTTGGTGAGGGTGTGGAGAATAGGGAGCCCTGTACACTGTTGGCAGGAATGTAAATTGATATAGTTATTATGGAAAACAATGTAGAAGTTCCTCAAAAAAATTAAAAAATAGAAATCTCACTTCTGAGTATAATCCAAAGCAAAAGAAATCATTATCTCAAAGAGATACCTGCCACTCCCAAGTTACTGCATCATGATTCACAATAGCCAAGATATTTAAACAGTGCCCACTGATGGATAAATGGATTAAAAATATGATATACATATGTGTATATATAAACATACATAATGTAGTAGAGTATTATCCAGCCATAAAAAGGAGTATGTCATTTGCAACAACATGAAAAAAACTCAGAGAACACTATGCTAAGTGAAAAAAGCCAGACACAGAAAGAAAAATATTGTACAATCTCGCTTAACATGAGGCATATGAAAAAATGGAACTTCCGGAACCAGAAGTAGATAGTGGTTGTCAGCAGCAAGGTGGGTGGAAGAAATGGGAGGTGTTGGTCTCGTGGTACAAACTTTCAGGTGAAAGATGAATAAGTTCTGGGGAGCTTATGGGGACAGTTGTCACTATGTTGCATGCTATAAATCTGCTGAAAGAGTACATTTTAAGTGTCTTTAACACAAAACAGAAAAAAGGTTTTTTATGTGAGCTGATGAATGTGTTAACTTGATTATAGTAATCACTTTTTTATGTTTTTAGAGCAGTTTTTAGATTCAACTTTGGGAAATTTAGATTAAACTTGAGTAGAAAGTACAGGGAGCTCTCATACACCCTCGGCCCACCCCCCAATCCATCCTCCCCTACTAACAGCATCCCGCACCACAGTCTAACATCAGGTGCAACGGATCACTCCACATCAACATTACCATCCCGCAAGTCTACAGTTTACGTCAGAGTTCACTCTTGGTGGTGTACATTCCATGGGTTTTGACAAATGCACAATGACATGTACGTATATACCACTGCATTATCATACAGAACAATTTTATTGCCCTAAAAATCCTCTATGCTCCACCTATTCATTCCTCCCTCCCCCCAACCCTTAGCAATCACTGATCTTTTTAATATCCCCATAGTTTTGCCTTTTTAAAAATGTTATATAATTGAAACTATACAAATTTTCATTTAGTAATATGTATTACTTAAGATTCCTACATAATTTTCTTGTCTTGCTCATTTCTTTTTAACACTGACTAATATTGCCCTATCTGGATATGCCACAGATTATTTATCCACTCACCTACTAAAGGACATCTTGGCTGCTTCAAGTTTTGGCAATTACAAAGAAAGTTGCAATAAACATCTATGTGTAAGTTTTGTGTGGTTTTAAGTTTTCAGCTCCTTTGGGTAAATACTAAGGAATATAACTGCTAAGTCATATATAAAGAATGTGTTCGGTTTTGTAATCAAATGCCAAGTTGTCTTCCCCAGTGGTCAGGCCATTTTGCATTCGCACCAGCAATGAATAAGCGTTCCTACTGCTGCACATGCTCACCAGCGCTGGTGGTGTGCGACCCACATCTCATATGCTGAATGGCCACATGTGGCTAATGGCTACTGTACTGGTCAGTAATATACAGAACACCCATCATCACAGAACATTCCATTGAAAATCTTGCTCTATTTAAAGCTTATATAGAGAAAAAGAGCTACTGTGACAGTTTTCTATTTTCTTCTCTGGATAAAATCTACTTCTACTGGATTTTGATGGGTCCTTGTATTTGCTCAGAAAGTCAAATTGCTGTTCAACCACTTCCTAACTATATAACCATTAACAAATCAGTTAACCCCTATGAGTCTGAACTTCCTCACCCTAATTACTTATTCGTTTAGTGCATTAAATTCAATAAGCAAGGTAAGATACATCATAACATGAATCGTGGTTAAGTCCTCATTTGTAAATTAATCTGGTTAGGAGTTTGTTTTTTGAGTGTCTCAATATGGTATTTTGAGAACCCTTTATAAAAAGCAAAGCTTAATGTTATATTTACCTGATCTGGATTTTTGTAACCCAAAAGTAGATTTGCTGCTTTTATATCACCATGAACATATTCATTTTCATGTATATATTCCAGTACATCCAACTGTGAAAAGAAATATATAAGGTTATACCGATGTCAATTTAGAACTCATGGACAACCTGGAACATTTAGAATATAGAATTACATGTATTTTTTTCATATTAACAATGACAAAGTGGCATGTTTCACATTTATTTATCTACTCTAAAACATCACATGTGCTGGTTGTTTCATTCTGGGAAAAGCTGAATAAAATGACCCTCAAATATCAGGTGCTTTCACTGAACCTTTGATGAAAGGAAACCAACATTCAACAATGTCTGTCTACACCCATGCTCCTCACAGCCTGATGGCCAAACCACATTGCGCAAAGCTAAAACACACAATATAATCAGAGATCTAAAGTGAAATAATCATGAAACCCACTCCGCAATTCCTTACCCAAGGAATAATTACAGGGTTTTAGAGATCCTGGAAAAGAACAGCACGTCCCTGAGCCGAGAGGCATTCTCCCTGTGCACAGTGACTGGGTGAACCTCAGCTTCATCTCTGGAGCTGCTACCTGCATCCAGGGTTCAATGAACACTGGATTCTGGCTAATTGGATGAATATACAAGTGGGGAAATGAATGAGTTCTGTGTGGCACATCCCAACCTGGCATGAGCAGTTTCAGTCTATTTAAAGTGGAAAAAAAATAAAAAAATAAAATGGAGCTTAGGCAAACTAAACACAAACAAGATAAGACGAATATGTGGTATAAACAAAATGTGTGCATGGGTGCTATTAAGATTTTATTGCTTCTTATTTGGCAAAGTATGTATTATTCATTGCCACACTAATTACTGCCACCATCCCAAACTCGTAATAAAAACTTTATAGCACCCTGATACCATCATGTGTTTAGTATGGAAAATAATATAATCTGCCATAGTTTGCATTGTTAAAAACGTAATTGACAAAAGAGAAGTTATTCTTATAGCAACATAAGCTTGTTCTGATATATAAAACAAAGCTGTAAGAAAAAAAATCATCCAAGTAGAGAACCAAAGCCTCATTGCATTTGCAGTGCCCAACACGTCCCATTCTGTCACTAAGGGAGCCCACTGTTCCCAATGGCACCAAAATAACCTGACTCTCAATACCTGACGTTTGTAGGGCAATAATCCTTCACTCTCTAACAATTCCACAACGGGCAACAATTTGTATATTATATCAAGTAAATAATCTGAAAATGGAGCATGTGAAATAAGTCATTCCTTCTTACCATTCGAATACCTAGCTGGAGGACGGTTGACTTTTTAAAGGTGCCATTCTGGTCAAAGAGCTTCTGTAAATCTGTTCCTAGTCTTTCCATTACCATAAATCTGTAACTGCAAGAAGACAATGTCACAAAGAGATCTGAAGATAGCAATGCTTGAAACCTTCTGTGTGTGAATTGAAACTAGAAAAAATGTCCCCAATCTAACAATAAAGAATGATGCAGTGTGAACCATTAAAGAAAAATGTACATTAATAATGCTGTCCTTCTGCAGGAAGATATTACTTAGTATTTTACTTTGCACGTAGTTTTCTCGAAGAGAGTGCTGTGCTGAACCACTCATGCTTAGATCATGAAAAAAACTACTCTTTCTAAATTAAACAGTTTAAATTTAGTTCATTTTGATTCTATGACCTTCTTGCCACAGAGCCTTGAACAAATTGTTTGTCTATACAGAAAATGTTATTTATATTTGTTTTTGACCTTATAAAACCAAATTTACTGTCTCTGTATATTTATAATCAGGCCTTTTTTTAAAAATGGACTTTTTCTTGTTCTCTTCTGTTTGGCACCTCTATCCCTTCACTTCTTCCCTTCACTTACCCACACAGAACCCTATTCTGCATCCACCTGTACATACACAAACATGGACATACAAAAACTTTTGTCTTGGTTTTACAAAAATGTGATCTTATTTTATGCACTTTTCCGAATCATACATTTTTCAATTGTAGCTCACTAAAATCTTTCCAAGTCAACTGGTGTAGCTTTAACTGATTTATTTAATGGGCTGCACAATATTGCATGATATGAAATTACCATGCTTAACCCTTCAGTACCTAACTGGCAGAATTTTACTTTGTTGCAAGATTGTTTGTTCATTTTGTTTTTATTTAATGCATTTAAAGATCATTTGAGAAAAGTGCTGACCTCTGAACCTAGTTTTCTCACCGAGGAAAACAAATCACCTATCTTTACAGGCTACTGAAAGGACAAAAGGGGTAACAAGTGACAGCATTTTTTTTCCTTTTTAAAAATCGCTATTAGTGAATTATTTATATGTATGATGAGCTATATTTGGTGGTTTTAAAAATATTTCTATTTCTAAAAATTATTTTCCTTTTTTTTTTGCCTCTCTTCAAGAGATAGAACTTAATTAATTCTCCTCTCTTGAGTACAGGGTATATTTAATGACTTTGCTTCTAGCAAAGAGAGTGCAGTAGAAATGATAGGCTATCGCTTCTCAGATTAGATTATAAAAAGACTGTGACTTTCTTCTTGGATGCATGCCCGTGTGTGTGCACACGTTTTCCTCCCCCCTCCGTGACTTGCTCTAGGGGAAGCCAGCTGCCATGTCTTTATACACTTGGGCAGCCTATGGAGAGATATGGTGAGGCTGTGAGGCCTGCCAGCAATCCCATGAGTGAATTTAGAAGCAGATAAGCAGATCTTCTTAGGCCTGCCAATGACCACACAAGTGACCTTTGAAGCAGAACCTTCCCCGTCTAACTGAGATGACTGCAGCCCAAAAGATGGCTGAGTACATCCTCCTAAGAAGTCCTGAGCTAGAACCACCCAGGTAAGCCAGTTATGGATAACTGACCCACAGAAATTAAAGCAGAATTGGTTGTTATAAGCCACTCCATTTGGGGTAACTTGTTATATAGTCACAAATATTAACAGACCGCATAGGAAACAGGCATTGGGCGATATTTGATCATAATAATTCTATTTTTACCTTTTACCCTTGAATTCAGTAAGACCAGATCCATAAAACACAGGAATTCCTAAATAATCAAGTTGTTTTAGTTTTATCCATTTTTTGACTGCAAAGACAAATTTGATAGAGAAAAGGATAAATGTTTTTTATAAAGATATTTCTTACTTTTGCGTTGATGCTAAAACTTACTTAACCTAAATAGAAATTAAACCTTCCTAAATTTTTTTTAGAAATCAAAAGTATCTATCAAATGGCTTTGAATTCCATTTATCACTATATTAACACAAAAACATAAAAAGAAACGTCAAATTAAGTAAATTATAACCAATTCTATTAATAAAATGTTTTAATGCCATTAAAAAATAAATAACAAAAGTAGCAACAGTCATAAAATGCATTATCATATAGACAAATGTTGTTATTCCTGAAAAAATTCATTCCTTTATAGCTAGTTAAAATTTTAAAAACATCTTAACCACCACAGAATCAGCAGAGAGATGGCTTTTTCTTCCTTATTACTTAAAAATCTAAAGCCATGGTAGTCAAATAACAGGAACTAGGCAGAAAAATGATCTTACTTTGAAATTATGTTATACAGAAAGTTTTGATTAAATTTAGTGTTTAAAAAATTGGATCCACTTAAAACAATCAGATAGCTTAATTTTTCACTTTTCTACCATGCAGAAAATTAATGTTTAAGAGAGCTCTACTGATAAACAATCAAGTTTAATGGACTTTATTTGTCACCCTGACACACTTTAAGCAATCAGTAAAGACCACAAGTCTTCATGTTTAGAAGGTTTTGGTAAGGGGAAAAAAAGTTAATTATTGAGGCTAAACTCATCATCCCTTTTCCTAAACATAATGTAAAGGAACTCTGACTATAAAGTCATTACTCAAACCAACTTCCTTAGAGCTTTACTTAGTCCACACATAACTTACACTGTTTAGAAAATGCTTTTATTCTTCTCCGGTTCTACTCATATTCATTTCACAGAGGAATCCCTCTAACTGGTAGTTTTTACACCTGATCCTCAGCTCCAACAAATTTCTCAAGATTCAAATGTCTAGGATTTTTAACTTATTTTCTAAATCATCATAATGTTTAATAATCGTATCTATACATCTTACCCCAACCCATTCTAAGATCATTCATTTTGTTTATGTATCTACTACCCATGCCCATTTTAATTATTTTTCCTCACATCCTACCCAAATGTTTTTTTAAAAAGATTTTAAAATTTATTTTTAGATTGAGGGGAAGAGAGAGATAAAGAGAAGAAAAGAAACATCAATGTGAGGGAGAAAGATCAATCAGTTGCCTCTATATGTGCCCTGGCCTGACAAACCCACGGGCCAGGCAGATGCCCCGGCTGGGAATTGAACATGTGACCTTTTGCTTTGTGGGACAAGGCCCAACCAACTGAGCCACACCAGTCAGGGCCATGTTTTAAAAAATTAATTTCATTTACTATCTTTCATATTTATAGAACTCTTTCTTGGTAGCTTGGATCAATAATATGTTTTATGTAAAGTAGTAGAAACAATTCTGAAATATATAACCCATTACATAATATCAAAATTTGTAAACCACCTGTCTTTTTTATATGTTGTAACAAGTAACTGTATCATTTTACAATAACATTTCTAATTGGAAAGAATTTTCCAGAAGGCGAGAAAAAGATAAAAATATTTACACTCACTTTAGCAAGCACATATATGGAAGTAGCTTGCTTTGCTAATTTTACTTACTACATTCTTTTTTTGCAGCTCTTTGGTAAAATTTAAGTTCTGAAAATAATGGGCCGTTTTCTTGATATTCCTATAAAAGAAAAGAACAATTAATTTTACTTTAAAAATCTTAGAGATAAAATGGGTATAGCAACTGTAAAAATATGGATATACATATGTAATATACAATAGTACTTGAATCATTATTATAAAACCAGGCACCAGATTTCCACTGAAAATCTCTACAAAAAGCACTAAATAAACTTAAAGAATTTCATTTTTAAATTTAACTTATTATAATGCTATCTCCATACAGTTTTACACTTGAAAGGAGTCTGCTAATGGAAAGCACTTAACTGAAAGCATTGAGAACTTAACACACACACAGACACGCCTGATGTGTGTACCAACATGCACATCAGGAGATACACTGCAGGCTACCTGGTGGCTCGTGCTACCTGATGCCTTTACTGAGTGTCTACTGCATTTCATTCATTGTACTGGGCACAGGGGACAGGAACAAAAATAGAACCTCATCCCTGCCTGTAAGGACCATACCATCTAGAGTAGAAAGAAGAGGGGAAGTGGGGAAGGGGAAGGAGAAGGGAGATAAAAGGCTTATAGATGCTAACACAGAAGAACAAAGCTCTCCAGTCTTTACATTTTAACAGTGTGAAAATATAACATAACATTAAGTTTAATGATAAGTAAAATTATGAAAACTATGATGAGAAACATTTTTACAAGAATAAAATAAAGCAGAAAAAAGTAAAACATATGCAAAATACAAATTTAAGAAGGATACTTACCACTTTTATTACATGTCTTGCATCTTCATATGGTTTATTTGTGGGGAAAGCTGCAGAACAAAACACAACAGGGAAAAATAGTTGGTCCAAATTACAGAATGCCTGCTATATTCCAGACACTGTGCTAAGTATGTCACATATATTACTTTATTAGATCCTCCAAAGACCTGTTATGATAGGTATCATCTCCATTTTACACAAGATCCAACTAAGGTTTGACAAGGTGAATAATTTACTAAAAAGTAGCTGATGGGGGACTGAAACTCAAATCTGTCTGGCACCGCAGCCCACACTCTTCACCACAAACTATATTAAATATTCAAACAAGTAAAACCAATAAATGATATTAATCGCATAGATCTAAATGTGGGGGGAAATATTTTCTAGATACACGGCATTAAACCCAATAAATGATATATAGTAAAATCTATTGGTTCATTTTTACTAAATTAAAACCTATGATAATGCAGAAATGAAAACTGATTAATTTTAGGTAGAAAGTCATAAACAATTTCTACTTGGTAAAATTCTAAAATAAGTCAAGTTGGAACAAGAACGAAGTCTTTTACAGACTCACAGAGAACCGGCCGACAGCTGTGGGGGAGATAGTGGGGTGAGGGTTCCAGAAAAAGAGAAAAAGGTCTCCTAAACGTGGACAGTCATGGGGGGTGGTAGATGGAGGTGGAAGAGGGTATAAGGGTGATAAATGCTATTGGAAAATTTTCAATAAAAATAAGCTATTGAAAATGAATAAATTTTTTAAAAGAAGTCTTCTAAGAATTATCTTCTGAATTTACCAATCTATGATTCCAACATCAAAGAATACATATCTCATAATATATACTCATTTCAAGCTTACTCCATTTTATAATTTACCATTTACATTTTATACGTAGTGATACAACTTCTGAAAACGCTATTGTTAAATTGTTAGATGAAATCAACACCTTCCTCTAAATTATTAAAAGATTCCTCTGTTTTCGGATCTTGAACAGGGAAGCTGACATGTATATTTACTTGCACTATGAAGTCTAGAGTTTTGTCATTCATCTATTCTCTCCCCATCCATTTATTTCTTCATTCATTCAACTAACCAATATTTATTTATCGAGAGGCTAGAATATGCAAGGCACCATGCTAAGCATTAGGATGGTATTTACAGGAGAGTGAAAAGGGAAAAGGTGAAACTGTTATTGAATAGGACTGAAAATCAGCACTAAGACTGAGAACAAGATCAAATTCTTCAGGCATATTTTCTGTATGTTGATCAAAATGCTGTGTCCTCTTATTATGACTCCCAACACTTTTCCTTTTCTTTCTCCTAACTCTATCAACTAGTCGAGATGTAAAAATACACAACTTTACTAAAGTATATAAATTGTAGTTTAAAGTTGTACACGTGCACCATTTTCTTACCCATTCTTCAAAATTTTGATGTTAGCAATGCTATTAGTCAGTTGAAATTATTACTTCAATTTTAGTGGATATTACAAATAAATTGTGAACCTAGATGTCTTTAGAGTAACAAAGAAACTAAACTTATTCATACTCAACTGAATTTCTCTTTTCACCTTTATTCACATAAAATGGTTTTGTTTTCACCCATGCAGTAGTCCTAAGGCTAAGGCAATTGCATGCAGGAGGAGTGAATTATCCACATTTACGGAGAAAAAAAAAAAACCCAAAACAACTATTCACAGAAGAAGAGCTGCAGTCCTGCTAGAGAAGTGAGAAAAGCCTTTCCTCCCAACCAACGGCATTTTCCTTTCTGGTATGATGTCCAAGGCCACGGAGAAACAGTCCTGCGCTAAGCCTGGTCCACTGGTCTTAGCCTTGTGGGTTATAAGCTGGTCAGAGGAAAAAAGACAAAAACAAAAACCTTTCTGCTTCTTGTCTAAAAGCAAGTGGCCACAGCAGCAAATAAATCTTTAAGCCAAACAGAACGTAAAAAGCAGAAAAGCACAAAAGGAAAACAGGGATTTCAATCAGGGGTGTCCAACCTTTTGGCATCTCTGGGCCACACTGGTAGAAGAGCTGTCTTAGGCCACACATTAAATACACAAGCACTAATGAAAAACTGATGAGAAAAAGAAAAAGGTTTTAAGTAAATGTCCAAGTGTGTGTTGGGCGACACTCACAGCCATCTGGGCCACTAGCAGCCCGCAGGCCGCAGGTTGGACTCAAGTAACATATTATGTTGCCGTGGGGAAAACAGATACCCAACCAGTCCCAAACGCTACTCCTTGCTGATTTCAATCAGTACATCCCTACCACAGTATAATCCATCCAAATCTTCCCTTCACATTATTTCACATGAATATAATCACGTTGACAAGTACTTGAAACGTCTCCATACTCCTCATCTGATAGCCACACAGTGTTCTCTCAAACTCCCAAGTCAGGTTATATTGGAGAGCCCGAATCCTAAATCAATTGACTAGAAAGCTTTTGGAGATGGATGTTAAACAAATAAATTGCCTTAGTTGCCATGGAGTTCTTTTTACAGTAATCAATCAGTTAATTAATGAAACAAATATTTATTTACCACTATAAGCCTAGCCACATTCTAGCTAGTAAAATTAAATGATCGCAGTAAACAGACATGGTATCTGCTTTTATAAATCAGACATTCATCAAATACTCACTCCTACACAGTATAAAACTAATTATAATGAATGTTAAAGGAAGATGTAGATGGTAGTATGAGAATGTATAATTTAATTTATATAAAAGAAAATGCTTGATCAAAACTTTGGAGAGATGATTAAGGGCTAGATAAAAATCTACTTAATAATTTCTAATGAAAGGTTTTTAAAAGCTTGAGATATATATATGGAAGATAGGAAGCACATAATCGTATCTGCACTGTGGACAGACCACTACACTGCAATGTGGACAACAGACTGAGGGAACCTCAGGGGACACAGACAGATCAGTAAGGATGTGATTGTGGTAGAGAGGACTCTGGCTTGGACTAGAGCACCCATGTTAGAAAAGAATGCCCTTTATAATCTGTTATAAAGAAAAATAACAGATTCCACAGATTTCAGAAGCTGACTGAACTTCACAGTGGAGGAAAAGGGGTCTAGTTTGGTTAAGTAACAGCTTGATTGATCTACTGGGGGATGAGAAGAATGACCAATCATCAACAGTGATAGTGTTGGAAGAATGTAGTCTCATACCTGCATTTAAACTTCTGATGAGAGGTCTGATGACCTGATAAGGAACGTGCTGTGCACATGTGTGATATCTCCTTCCTAGCATTTCTTTTCTATGCATTGGAAACCTCACCTGGTTTTCCTTTGAGAAACCAAACCTCCCACTTTCCATGTGGTCTTACCCCTTTATATCCCATACTTGGGCTCATGACCAAGCCTGGCTAATGGCAAAATGCAAGCCCACTTGCCACAGTAAACAGCTCAGAAATGGCAAAATGCCCCAATTAGGTAAAAAAAAAAATTCTTCCCTAAGATTTGATAATCCATAAGCTATAAGGATGCCAAAACCCTAGAAAGAGTAGTGATCACTTTCCTTGGCTGAATGAGCAGTAAGTCTGCAAACCATATCCAGCCCTGAGGAAAGTAGGGTAAGGCAGAGAGAAAGCCCTGGTCTACCCATGTCTGCAGCCAGAAAAGCCGTGTATATACCACTTACAAGAATTAAATCCGCCCATTTGTATTTCTAACATTGGCAACCAAAGACTCCACAGCAACTAGAAAAATTAAAATATAATACTAGTACACTAGGTAAACCCAAACTTTCTTCTATAAAAATAAATAGGGTGCTGAATAAAATAAATCAAATGTTCTTATAAATGCAGAGGTTGTCTGCCAAAAAAAAAAAAGGAAAGAAAGGCAAAGGGAAATCTAAAAACCAGAGGGAGATGCACAGAGCACTGATGTCCAGGCCACACCGTGACCCTGAAGGATGCTGCCCTGGCAGGGTGATCAAGAAGAAACACACCAAGGCACATCATCATTACATTAGCCAAGATTAAAATGAAGGAGAGAATCCTAGAAGCAGCAAGAGCTAAGGGGACAGTCACCTACAAAGGAGTTCCCGTCAGACTGTCAGCAGATTTCTCAAAAGAGATCTTACAGGCAAGAAGGAGCTGGAAAGAGGTATTCCAAGTCATGAAATCCAAAGACCTACATTCATGATTGATCTATCCAGCAAAGCTTTCATTTAGAATGGAAGGGCAGATAAAGTGCTTCTCAGATAAGGTAAAATTCAAGGAGTTCATCATCACCAAGCCCTTATTATTGAAAGGTTAAAGGGACTTACCTAAGAAAAAAGAAGATCAAAAAGATGAACAGTGAAAGGACAGCAAACTCACAGTTATTAACAACCACGCCTAAAACAAAAGCAAACTAAGAGGACAGCTAGATCAGGAGCAGAACCATAGAAATGAAGATCTCATGGGGGGTTAGCAACAGGGGAGTGGGAGGAGGAGTGGGGAGAAGGTACAGAAAATAAGTAGCATAGATGGTAGGTAGAAAATAGATAGGGGGAGGGCAAGAATAGTATGGGAAATATAGAATCCAAAGAACTTGAGACACATGGTCATAAACTAAAGAGGGGAATGGTAGGGATGGGGTGTGCAGAGTGGAGGGGAATGAAGGGGGGGAATAGAACAACTGTAATGGCATAATCAAGAAAATAAAAATTTAAAAAAAAAAAAAGAACCCAAGTGTGAAACGCTCTCCTGGGAAAAGGACAAGTCCTTGAGCCTGCAAGGTAAAGACAATTAAAGTTGAGATAGCCACATAAAGTCAGAATTTTCAAGGTGCTGAATCTTTAGGACTGTGGGCATTAAAAAGATAGGGAGATAGGGGAGAGGGATAAAGGGGAGGGAGAGAGGAAAGAGAGAATGAATGAGAGAGAGAGAGAGAGAGAGAGAGAGAACATAGATAAATGAATGAATCCACTACCACAAAAGACAGAAAGAAACAAACAAACAAAAAAACTTGTCTTGGCCCAGACCCTGAGTATTAGAAAAAGCAAAATGTCTCCTGATAATTATTCAGAAGTTCCCTTCAGGAATTTAGTC